CCCCCTCTGCCATCACGATCTCTTCTCACTACGTTATAGCCATTTAGATGAATAAAATTATCCAGTGTGTGTGGCTTTAACCACGTTTCTGTAACGCCTACAATGTCATAAGAAGAGGTCTGCACCATATGTGAAAAGGCAGCAAAGCTGGGTAGCAAAGAACGCATATTTACATGAGCCAAGCTTATACTTTTTGATCCCATATTTCTCCTAAAACATAAAAAAAAATCCTTTAGTAATATAGACTTTCAAGCCTCATGAGTGCGAGTTCTAGATATTTAGTTTACAAGCATTTAGTTACTTAATGTGTAATTCAAAAAATAATAATGTAGTTTACAATACCAACAACACAAATTACAATTTATGGGTTATCAACAAAGCAATATCTGATTTGAAAATTTAGAAACAAATGTTTATTATGGAAGATAATTTGAAATGTAAACGATATGGTATAGGAACTATATTTATTTAAACTGCCTAATGGAAGCTATATGCTATTATCAAAATGAATTTGTTTGAATTTATGAAATTAATTAGTACAAAAATTTAACAAATTTGATTGAATTTATGAAATTAATTAGTACAAAAATTTAACAAAGTAGCACCTAGTGTCAGGTTGAGCAAATGAGTAAGAAAAGATTAAATTAAAAATTATGCCAATAGCATCAAGACGTGTAAATAGCATTGCGGGATTATCGATAACTGCATTACGAAGCCAGCTTGGACAGTTCATTTTCCGATTTGATCACAAACTTCTTCCCGCTACGTTTTATGAATATAGCTCCGTTCATAGTCCATACATTTTCTTTCTGGAATTGGTTTATCGCGCTTTTGTAAACGGACAGTCTTGTTTTAGTGAGGTCTTCAGCAATTCTGATCCCAGTGCCCTTTAATAGCTTTTTAGACCTGAACACCATGTCCCGGTCGCGAAAACTGATAAACTTCGCAATAATGTGCCGACCGTGCCCAGAATCCTTACCGACCCGATGTGCTCTTTCGATCGCCGTAACATCAAGATTTAATTTTAACTTGTTATGCAGGGTATCGCGCAAGATGTTATCGATATCTTCAGAGGGCTGCTCCTTGATACCAAAAATACGAATGTTGTTACGCCTTGTATATTGTTGTAAGTCGTCTAATTTGCTTCCCAGATTTTGAGTTTCTTTGACCAACGTATCATTACGGGATTTTAAGGTAGAGATTTCTTGCTTTAACGACTTAATAACTTCGTTTTGGTCATCGAACGTTTTCCGGAGGTTATCACTGACAATTGTGGCAACATTTTGCGCTATAGATTGTAAGAAATTTTTATCACTGCATAGTGTTTGAATGGAGCTATGCATAAGGTCTTGAATGTCCTGAAGTTGAGATTGCGTTAACACCATTGTATCACTAAAACTATCTGTATTAATCAATATTATGTAAACAGACTTCGACACTTTTATATTGATATTAGTAACACCCGCAACTGCAAAAGACGTCTTCACTCGCCCGTAGTCATTGCGCGAATCCAATAAAAGAAACAGATATTGTTTTGACAAAATGGGTCGATAATTCCGTTGTATGTGCGGCATCTACGGCATATGGAAAAAATCCAATGTCCAATGTACAGCGGTATTCAAAGGCAAAAAAACAAAAAATAACTGTATCCCGTCCTTGCGTTATCGGAAACTATAACAAGTACATGGGAGGCGTGGACCAAAACGTAAGCCTCTATCGCATTGGCAACAGGGGTAAGAAATGGTGGAGCAGCATATTCACTTGGTTGCTTGATGTATCGGTCCAAAATGCGTGGCAGCTTCATAGATCGGTTCACCCAACAATGTCACAGTTAGAATTTAGACGCAACATCGCAATCTTTTACGCTAAACACTATGGACAAGAAGCGAAGGGACCTGGACTTTTACGCAAACGAAAAATTGAAGATACAGCCTATGAAGAAATAAGATTTGATGGCTTGAACCACTGGCCGTTGCCTATTGAAAAGAAAAGGAGATGCGTTGGATTATCCTGCAACACCATTGGTCGCACGGCCTGCGAAAAATGCAATGTAGGTCTTTGTTTGAAATGTTTTAAGAAGTATCATACGCCAATTTAATTATTTTGTATTAGTTTCATAAATAAAGTTCTTATGTGATAAATCAATTATTTATCTTTCCATTAAAGAATAGTACGGTATGACCCAGTGTTGCCATATGGCAACGTACAATTAAAGAAAAACGCAAAATCAACAAAACAAAACAACCCATTTTCTATGATATTGTGACCTAAATGAATACGTTTATAACAAATAATGAGTTGTTTTGCAAAAAAAAAGATCTGGGACAAATCGGGTTAAGGCTAATCACAGCATTTCTTAATTAATCGATAATTCGTTTACCTTCTAAAGGTCTTTTGGAGTTACGACAAGCATCATGTGAAGCTCAGGAGGTGTCTAGATTCCGAATGGGGTAGTTCAAAGGCTTTTTACAGGCATTTTAAAAAAATTTGGTTTTTCATATTTTAATAATTATATTTCGACATCCAATCCGAAGACATTAGTTAGAATACTATGTAGTTCGTCCTTCTCGAACTCAATCACGAGTGTTTAAAGAAAGGTAGATAAGAGCAAACAGGCCCAATCCTAGGTCCGCCACTGGCACGCAGCTCGACAGCGCCGACTCGAACTTAGGTAGGGTCGGGTGGGGTAAATGTAAATTAGGGGTAATTGTTAACAGGTCTGTAGAAAGTATGACATTTGAAAATCGGTGTTTTCGCGCCTATATATTAGTAGGTACGACAGTGCTGCCCTCCTAACTTTAGTTTTGTTTGTTATGGTCGACTAATGGCCATATGCACCGTTTTTTACCTAAGCTGAGCTTGTGTAAGCTCGCTTAAATCCTTAAGCCTTACTTGGATGTGATTTGTATTCACCGCAGAAAATTAATCTAAGCTTCGTTAAGCGTTAAATATATTTGACAACATTGCGTATTTGTGCTTTTTAACCTCACTATTTTCACATGTTTATAAGTTATACGACCTTTTGTATTTTTTATGGTATTCTGAATCGTAAGCACCTTTCTATTGATCTGTGATTATATGCATAAAGAGCCTCTTTACGGGCTAGCCCGTTATTTTTTTACGGGCTAAGTTATAACGGGCTGTTTAGCAACAATAGGTACATATTTATTAAAGATATGCACAGGCAGAAGGCAACAAATAAGAAAAATTAAGAACAATCATTATGTTTACACATATGCACTTCAATCGTGCAGTTAGAATTCCCACTAATCATTAGTCCAGCAGTTGAAGACGATGCAACAGCCCCATTTGGCGTTGAGTGGATATTGCTAGGACCCGCCAGGGGTATCATTGCTGCAACTGCCATTTTGCTCTTCACTGACGCTTCGATGTATCGCTCTGCCACTCTTGAGGACTTCCAGCCGCCAATTTGTTTTACTGGCAGAAGATTTCCAGCAGATTCCGCAACCATACTAGCACCACTTCGTCTTAAACAGTGCCCAGTATACTTTTCAGGGTGGTCCAGACCAAGGAATTCTGCTACTTTTCGCGGTACACCACCAATGGTATGCATACCAGCCGGCTGAGCAACGCACTTTCCTTTTCTGTATCCCAAAAAAAAAGCGTCTCGTTCCGACATCAAGAGGACGTAATTTAGCATATTTTTTATAAATCTCATAAGGATTCAAAGATCCATTTGCATCAGGAATAAGAAACGATCTAGATGTATGAGTCTTCGTATATTGCAACTTTACTAGAGCGTACTTCTCATGGTCCTCAATATGATCCACAATTAGCTTAAGTAATTCATCTCGGCGACAAGCCCCATACAGTCCAAAGACCAAGACAACTTTGCAGAGCAAAAAATCATCTGAAGCTTCTAAAATAAATTTGCGGGTGTCCTCAACAGACAAAATCTTAGATTTCTTCGGCACGTAATTAACATTTTGAGCCTTCATGAACGCGATAACCTTTCCAAATCTATAAAACCAATTAAATTAGGTAGATACAACAAATACGGTGATTATTGTTCTCGCAACAAACCTAGATATATCAACATTGCCATTAACTATGAGAGCTTTCTTCAGCATTGAAAATTTAGTCCATAGACTTGATGCGTTGAAAACTTTTGATAAACCAGAAACGTACGCCAAGACAACGGTCTCGCTCAGTACCATTTCGCCGACTCTCTTTGCTCTCCATTCGTTAAATGCTGTCAGTTCCTTTTCGTACCGGTTTCGGGATTTCTCAGGCATTAATTTTCCACTAGCTTCTTCCGCTTCTTGGATTATTTCGTCTGGAAGATCCATTTTCTGTCAGGATTCAAGAAAAACACAAAACGTTTTTTTTGTTTATACAACAATGTTGTCGTAGTAACGTTCGCCAAATATTTTCAACGGCCAGTTCGATTGAATAACTTTCGTTTTTTTCCAAAGAAAAAGAACTTTTCGTTAAAGATTTACGATTCGGAATACCATAAAACGTTGTACAACTGCTCACCCGTTACCCGAACTTTACAAGCTCGCACGGATAACAAGCTCGCTTGGTAACTTCCGTGCTCGCTTGTAAAGTTCTATGTAACGGTCTCGCAATGTAAACTACTATAACGTGTGTGCAAAGTATAATTTTACGAGTTCGCTAATTATTAACAAATCATGAGCAAAGAAAAAATTAGGGTGGCAAACTTTTCTAGTGCAGAGAAACTGCTCCTGTTAACGATGATTTCAGAAAAATATAGTAAAATACTAGAAGACAAAAAAACTGACCGCATGTCTGTCTCTCAAAAAGAGCAGGCATGGTCACAAATCGAAATAGACTTTAATGCTTCGTCTACTACAACGTTCCGAAACGCATCCTGTCTAAAGAAGTGTTACGAAAACAGGAAGAAAGAACTGCGTAAAACTGTAGCCAATCATAAACGAGACGTCTTATTAACTGGTGGTGAGCCACCACCTAAGAAAAAGAAAGACGATGACGAAACATTGGTTGATGATATACTGACATCAATCATGAATGAAAAGACTTTGGTAGGACTACAAAACCCATTTGATGACGATGTTGATGAAAACGCAATCCCACAACGTAATACTCAACAATTCGATACAGATACTGAGTTTGTGTTGGAGGTTGGCAGTGAATATTATGCTGATAACAACACTTCACAAATTCAGGTAGGTTTTTACGATTATGGTTGTCATATCTGATCATTGTGTCTACCCTCAAAGTAAAGTACATTACTTACTTGCATTATATTTTAGACTGCACAGGGCGTCATGCCAGCATCCAACGTTATGAATTGGAAAAGGAGTACTCCAAATCAATTAAAACAACCAATAAGTGCAACACTTTGTGCCATTGCAAATGGCACCACAACTAGACATCACCACACCTAATAGCTCTAAAGTAAGTTTTTAGAAAAGAAGAATTCATTTTAATCAAGCCATTCATTTTGTGTAGGCGCGAACACCAAAACAGTGTAGCAGAAGAAGACCAACAACCGTCGTGAAAACGCTAACATCGTCTGAAATTGCTAAGAAATACAATAATATTACTTGATAAACGAATTTCTTTATTGGATGCACAACATAAACATATGGAAAAAGAAAATGAATTGATTCTCAAAAAGCATCAACTAGAAATTGCTTTGTTAACTAGAAAATTGAAAAGAGATGAAGAGCTTGACACTGAAAATTAGTAATTATCTGTTTTATACTTATAGTAATATAGGTAACAATAATATTATAAACTGGTACATACGTAAATGTGTTAAGTAACAAATACATATTTTATAAATGTGCAAAATAATTATTAACAATGTGTGTTCTGAAATCGTAATTAATATGTTGGGGTCCCTGTATAGCTTCAATCTGACCCTGCTGAATTAGATACTCCAGTTCCTCCCCATTTATGTCATTCGGAGGTGGTGGCATGTCTTCATGCATATTAATCGCGATGTTATGCAGAACTGCTGTTGCTACAATGACAGTTAAAGCGGTATCAATATGGCACCGAAGTTCGTAACACAGTACTGGAAAACGTCTTTTCCATACACCATTTGTTCTTTCGGTGCAATTCCGTGTGCGAATGTGCGACTCATTATATAATTGCTGTGCTGGTGTGGTTGGATTCAGAAGCGGTGTTAATAAGTATGCTTTAAGTGCATATCCACCGTCACCTTAAAACATTTTGACATAGTACAATGCACTTAACCTACAGTAGGTAGTGAAATTGAAATAAACGGTTACTTACCAAGAAGAATAGCAGTACCGAACTCCCCTGCCTCACACCTTGTCCTCAAACGACTGTTATTAAATATTGTTGCATCATGTGCCGAACCTGGCCATCTGGCAACAACATTTATGATTTTTAGGGTACTGTCACACACTAATTGTACATTTATAGAAAAATAGGATTTTCTATTTCTGTACACTTCTCCATCTTCGCCACCTATACATTGAGATGTTTAGTTTTTTTAAACTATGTGCACTTACTTACCTGGAGAACGAATTTTTATATGTCTCCATCAACACATCCAATTACGCGAGGAAAGCGTGCTACCCTGTAAAAGCTATTTTGACTAGCAACTATTTCCTCTGGGGTCGAGGGCATCTTTATGAAGCGGTTTCGAAGACCAGCAATCACTTGTGAAACTTTTTTGATTACACGCGAGACAGTACCTTGGTTCATATGCAATGTTAATTTGGTGGCTACTGCTGGCATAAAATAAAAGGGTTGTTAACAGTTGATTTATCGGTTATACACTGTTGTTCCTGAAACATTAGTAGTATTTTTAAATGTTCTTATATTAATCACCAAATCTGTAGTGCAATACCATCATGCAGCTGCAGTATTGCTATGGGATACTTACAAATCATTATCAAATTCCAACTAATCTTCGATAAGCTCCAGAAGTGATATAGTGGCCTGTTTTGTTAACCTGAATCTTCGAAAAAAATTCATATCGTCCATGCTTTCAATATAATTGGGTCTCTGGTATATTATACGAGGAAACCCATATTCGATAATATCCATGATATCCAGATCGTCATCTAAAACTATTTCGTCTTCGACTTCCATAACAAACAATAAACAGAAAAATATGAGATTTGAGGTTATGCCTTCCAAAGCGTAGCTTAAACGAATTAAACCGCCACTGTTGGAGGCTTAAGGTTAAGCGAGCTTAGAGAGCATTTTTACACCGGTGCATAACAAATTAGTGATATAAGCACGATTAAATATTAAGCTGAGCTTTTTATAGTACGGTGCATATGGCCATAAAAATAGGAGTAGCGCCGAAGAATTTTACAAGATTGCAAAAAAAGTTGAATTTCAATTTAGTGACAGTTTAAGGTCGTGGAGTTTACTTAGGCTACAGCAGGGCCGTATCTGGACAAAAATTTTGGGGGAGGTTAAACCATGGAATTTGATTTTGATAATAAATTAGGGATTTAAAAAAAACTGTCATTTTTTAATAGGTGTATGTGTATTATATGAAAATATCAGGTTAAAGAAAAAAACAAACAATTTAAAATTTTACAAATAGTAATCATAGTAGCAATTGAATTTTTCTTTGCTTTTCCCTCGCAAAACGATTTACCACCTCCTCGGTATCAATTTTAATATTTCTGTGAATGCTTAACAGAGCAAGTCCTGTTAGTCGCTCTTGACCAGTTGAATTGCGCAAATAGTCTTTCAAACGTCTTAGCGAGGAAAAGGATCGTTCTGAGGAGGCAGTAGATACGGGTAATGTGGCCAGAATTTGCAACAGAATATGAATATTGGGGAAAAATGATCGATTACATGCCGGGATGGGACGTTTTGGCGCGGCCGTTTTGGCGTGGCCGTCTGGGCGCAAGCCGTTTTGGCGCGGGTTGTTTTGGCGCGGGTCGTTTTGGCGCATTAAAATATCAAATTTGAACTAAAACAAATTTTGATGGTGTAGTAGAACGGCCGGGGTCGACCAATACGTGATCGGAGTCTTTACAGGTCACAAATTTCTTTCAAAAATTTTGGACACGACGAATGTCTGACAAACGCAGAAATATAATTTTGTTAGTTCAGTGAATTCGCTAATGAAGGCCAATCCGCATTTTGTGTGTCTTTGTTTGACACAATAAGGCACGGGTAGAACCACTTAGTGTATTGTTTACCTAATCCCACTATTCTAATAACATCGGCTATCCTTATAAACCATTGAAAAGGAGTCATTATGATATAATTAATAATAATAATAATATAAATTTATTAAGGGATAGGAGAAGCCATAAGGCCATTAGTATCCCCCCTCTACAAACTTGGTCGCATCAGATACTTATAACAAAACAAGTTAACAATATTATGACATACAAAGTAAATATAACAAAAAAAAAAAAAAGTAAAAAGTGAGTTAAACAGTATAACAAGAAAAACGAAAACATAATAGCTCTCTACGTATAAATTTACACATTAAACATCAAAAAAACATGTTCAGAGTCCTGCAACAAACAAAAAACGTGCGATCGAAACCATTACAGGACCTGGTGTGTCTAACATCTTCTGGCAGCTTGTTCCACAATTTGGCCGCTTGTATATAAAAGGACGATGCTCCAATGCTTGTCTGAGCCTTAGGAATATAAATATTTGAAGTCCTAGTACCGTAACAATGGAAACTACTGAGTGCCCGAAAGTTTGTGTAGAGATAAAGCGGTATTCGATTAAGAATGATTTTATGCAAAAGTCTTAGCATGTGGTATATTCGATTAGTTCTCATATTTAGCATATTATGATGTTTAAGTATAGGTTGTATATGATCACTACGTTTAAGATTACACGCAAAACGTAAACAGTGATTTTGAATTTGTTGTATTTTATAAGACAATTGTTTTTTGAGTCCCTGATAACACACATCACCATATGTTAAATGAGGTAGTATTAATTGTTTTACCAGCTTTAGTTTAATGTGTGTACACAAAAGATTTTTAGCCTTATATAAGGTTCTCAGTTTATATAGTGATTTTGAACAGATAAGTTTAATGTGAGGTTCCCAGGTTAAAGTTCGATCCAGAGTTAAACCAAGGACTCGCGCAGAGGTTGCAAATTCTACACAGACACCATTTATTTTCACAGCTTGTGTTTGTTCTTGAAAAAATCTTTGTATGCCTTTTTTGGTACCGACTGGGATGATTATAGTTTTAGCAGGGTTCAGTTTAAGATTATTTAGTGTTGCCCACTCATAAATAACCATTAAGTCACAGTTTAGTTGATTAATATGCTCATTGAGACCCTTTAATGGTATATTTTTCAAAACTTGTATATCGTCTGCATACTGATGTATGTCACTGTATTTAATGTATCGGTGAAGATCAGAAACATATATATTGAATAGCAAGGGACCTAAAATGCTACCCTGCAGGACACCACATTTAATGCTTAGGGAGTCAGAAATCATATATATATATATATATATATATATATATACATATATAATTAAATTTTATTAAATATCTAATTACTTATGCAAAGAGGGAAACAATACCAGATATTCCTTTTGAATTGGTATGTTGCATCCTTTCATTGATGGTACTTAAATTTGGAAACTCCTTGGAAGTACAACACTTGAGCCATTAAGGGAGGGATTAAAGTCTCATTTATTTCATCTCATTCTTAATTCGTGCCTTAAACCTATCAGTATCTTAAAATTGTGTTTACAAGCAATGGCTGTTAATATTAAAAGTAAACGTGAGAAAGATAAGTTCGCGAGTAATGGTCATATATACGTGTTTGATCGAGTGAGTGAACGAGATGCTTCTATCCAGTTTTGGAGATGCGAAAGGAAAAATGTTTGTAAGGGAAGAATTCATGTAAAGAACAATGAGGTTATTAAGGAAGTCAGAGACCACAACCACGACTCTGTAGCTGGAAAAATCGAATCCGATGTAGCTGTTTGTGCCTCCAAGGATAGAGCTGCAGAAACAATGGAACAGCCAAGCCAAATAATAAACATTTGCTCGGCTCCACTTACTGCAGCAGCACAAGGTATGCAAATAATTTTAATATTTTTTTGTAAATGAACATTTACTGCTCTTTCTTCATAACGTAACCCTTGTTGTAATAATTATATTTTTTATTTGATTTCATGGAAAGAGTGGACTCAATATTATATGGAACTTTGACCGTAATTAAAACTGCTAAAGTAATTACATCCTTTAATATCTTGACTATTACAGCTGTCCTTCCGAATCGCAATGCCCTAAGAAAAGTTATTAGACGCAAAAGGAATGAGATTAATATGGCACCTCCCAATCCGGTAACGATCCAAGATCTTCTTTTTCCTGACGAATACAAATATTATCAACTGCCGAATAATGATCAAGAATTATTTTTATTGGCAGACAGTGGACCAAATCAAAATCGAATTGTAATATTTGGGAGACAACGTTCATTACGTGTATGTATCTTCATTTTATTACGTACAACAATCCATGGATCGACGATCAATTTTAACTCTAAAATATTCGGAAATATTATAAAATTTTTGATTTATTTTCCTATTCGCAATTGCCGTAATTGTATCTAATACTCCAATTGATACTTGCATGACACAAATTTAAATAATTTCTTATCGACTATTAAATTTCCTTCCATTAAGTTTTCATATCATGTTGCATTTGAAAGTTTAAAAACAGTACTACACATAGTAATTACCGAGGTAATTACATTTCCTAATTTATTACTGATCTATTGTTACAGATTCTGAGCGAGTCCGAACACTGGTAGGGGAGACCGGGGACAATTGTAACATTTCAAATATTACCGAAACTAGCAAGTCTTTATAAGTGTTATTTATGCAGATAATGCGCATGATCGTGACGTTCATAACGCCATAACGCACGTGATCACAGTGCCATTCGTTAGACGGGGGTTACACGCTCAGTTTGGAATCAGTTCAGTCCGTGATTGTGGTCAGAATGTTGTCAGACTTCGCGTGTAATGCGTTGACTGATGGACTGATAAACCAGACTGATCGATATTTAAATATTTTAATAATTACTGTCAGTCTGTCGAGGATTGACGACAGATTGATCGTGTATTGCGCACAAATCAGTCTCAAATCAGTTACCTTCCGGTCAGCAATGGAGGTGCACGTGGACGACTCGCAAACGCAGCCGTTGGAGGTCGAGAAAGATTTTATTATAACGTTTGAAACCATGCCAATCCTATGGGATAAAACGGACAAAGATTACGTTAACAAATATAAGAGAAATGAAGCTCTGGAAAAGCTGTTGGTCATATATAAAAAAATAAAACCTCAGGTTACCTTGGATGATGTCAAAAAGAAGATAAATACATTAAGATCAAATTACCGTCGTGAACTAAAAAAAATAGAATCATCGCGAAGGTCAGGGGCTGGAGGGGATGATATATATACCCCAAAAAGTTGGACGTTTGAATATCTTCATTTTTTGGGCAAATTTGAGAAACCTCAGGTAAGAATTGCATTCTTTTCTTTTTGCAATAGATAGTAATAATAATAAGTGATAATATATAAGGTCGTGGAGTAATAATAATAACATTAACGTCATTAATATGTAATTTATTTCCTTGACAAATTTACATTGTATGGAATTTGTTCGTTTGATTCAGAAAATTATTAGCAAAAGTAAAGTAAAAGTAGTAAAATTCTGGTTGGTAATTCTGAGAACAATAACTTAATCGCTTTTGCGAAAATGAAATTTACCTTCATTATTAAAGTAATGACAAAATTTTTCTCTTATTGTTTTCGCATCACTTGTTGAATTTCGAATGCTAGCTGGCTCCAAATCACGTAATGCAGTATTATCTGCGTTTGTGATTCTCCAGTTTGATGCTAAATAAAGCCTTGGCTGTGTTTTCATCAAGTAATTGTGTAAATAACAGCTCGCTGCTACTATAGTTGCAGCCTTTTTGGGCTCGAAACATATTGCTTTGTGGAAAATTCCAAATTTTGATCTGAGTATCCCAAAGGCACCTTCTACAACTGATCTAGCACGTGATAATCGATAATTGAATGTTTTTCGCTCATTATTGCACGCATTCTGTGGGTAGGGCTTCATTAAATGTTTTCCGAGCGCAAAAGCTTCATCTGATATGAAAACGTAAGGAAATGGTTCTTCTATATTTGGCAGAGGCGCTGGATCTGGTATATTTAAGTCACTTCTTTGATACAGCTCCCAGAATTTAGTATAGAATAGTACCCACCATCGGATATTCGGCCATTAGCACCAACATCTATCATGATAAATTGTTTCTTGGAGTTAACTAACGCCATGAGAACTATGCTGAAATGACCTTTGTAGTTGCGGTATAATGCTCCAGAATGTGCCGGTTTTTGAACTGCAACGTGCTTGCCGTCCAAAGCCCCTAAGCAGTTCCAAAACTGATATGTTTCCCCAAAATCAGAAGCAATCTCTTTCCAATCTTCCTCTGTCATTGGCATCTGCAAAATTAAATGTATACTGTTTTTTTAAGATTCTCGATACTGATGGAGATGATAATGCAGATGGACCTAGTCCAGACCTAACACAACCACAAGAACAGGAGAGAATGGAATCGCAAAGAAGCGTTTCATCCATTTCCTCTGCAAACACAGTGATGCCGCCACCGCCTGCGAAGAAAGCGAAGAAAACCATGCTTGCAAAGCAAAATGAGTTATTAGATCGGGCATGTGCATATTTATCTGAACCCAACAGTAGCAGTAGTGGTGCTAACTCACTTGCATGTCATTGGGCAGAAACTTTAGACCGACTTGATCCAACTCAAAGATTGTATGCTAAAAAGGCAATCAACGATGTGCTATTTGAAGCGGAATTAGGAAATTTACATAGACATGCGGTTCAAATTAATACAGCCACATATATGCCTTATTTGCGCTCACCTCGGATATCTCAGCATTCACCTCAGCCTTCTCCCCACTCATCTCAACCATCACCCCCACCTCCACATTCACCTCAATCATCTCCGTACTCACCTCAACCTTCTCCGGACTCATCTCAACCATCTCCGCACCTATCTCAACCATTTCCACACTCATCTCAGTCACCTGCTACCAACGTGTTAACACCTCTTTCATCCCCTTCTCTCGCACTTGAATTTGAAACACAAGATTATCATCCTACATACTCCAATATTGGGTCACTATTTACTGACTTTACAGGAAATTAGTAAATAATTGCATTATGTTACTTTTTGGTTGAGATACTTTTCTCGTTTTGTACCCACTTGACATTTTTGAGTTTGTGTTTTTTAAGTTTTGTAAGAAAAGTATATGCTGTAAAAAATGTGCGTAATCTTTTATTAGACTTACCTTTATGTAAGATTGAAGAACATAAAGCAGCGCTTGACATGTGTCCATTATTGCCTTACTGATAGCAGCTGGTGACATTATAACCGAGAATTTTAAATCTTGAATGTTCCTACCGGTAGCAAGGTACCTTAAAGTGACAGCCAATCTCTCTTCCGCACTTATCGCCTTCCTCATAATCGTATCTTTTTTCGTCAAATATGGCTTCACCATTTCCAACAAGTCGTCAAAGCAGGCCTCTTTCATTCGAAAATAATTTGCGTAGTCTTCCTCTTCTTCTGCGTTTCTTATTTCAGTCAACAACTTCAAATGCGTATACTGATCTCTTTTCAGTAGCCACTCTTTAGTCCACCGTTTCCTAATGCGACGTTTTGTTGCACTCACAGCAATTATTATTGCAATAGCAGCTTTTTTTTTACGAATATCCATAGTTTTTAACACGGAATATGTGTTTATTCTAGCCCGTTCTCAATTAGACTGATATCAGTCTGAATGATCATGTAACCATTGAAGGGAGTCCATCAGTTTGCGATCAGTCAATTCCTGATCAAGGTCATGGACTGAACTGATTCCAAACTGAGCGTGTAACCCCCGTCTTACAGTGATATGTACGGTAGTGTATTTTTCAACTTTAAAAGTAAGTTCTATCTATTTCGTTTATAGGTATGTGACACCTTCAAATTTCTTTTCTCCGTAATTACCTCCCCTGTATGCATTTGTTAGGGTTTGAGGCCATGTTTACTGTACTTATAATATCAGTGCCGTATCTGAGTGTCCTTTAAAACCTCGTCTCAATTTTAAAATAGCTGCCGGGGTCGATTGTACCGGTACAACTGACCCCAGTTTCATTTTTTTAATTTCTATAGTACGTTGAATTTCATTACAGATGCCCCGAAAAAGGATAAATAAAACATAGGTCGTCACGTGACGGATCTTTGTATGAACTGGCCCATAATTCCGTTAAATCAGGATCTTCTATACGTGCAGCCGCAGCCCAATTCGGTTTGTGTCACGTATCGCTACTGAGGTACCGGAAGAAAAGAAAAGATGCTGCAGATAGTAGTGGTGTAGAAGGGACTGTAAATGTGAGTATGGGGTATAAACCAGCCAATAGGGTATTTTCTGTTGAACATGAAAATGAAAGGGTCAAGTATACTATACAAGTATACAAGCACTACAGCTGGCAACGAAATACAATTTAAAATGTCCAGCAAACTGGAATGAGAATGGCTTAGCTGGTGAGGACTGGTTTTTGGGATTCATGAGGAGACACCCGGATTTATCTATCAGAACTCCACAAGCAACAAGCCTTTCCAGAGCCACCAGCTTTAATCCTGCAAACGTTAAATTGTTCTTTGATAACCTCGCAAAAGTTATGGATCGTGAAAAATTCGAAGCCAAGGACATATATAACGTAGACGAAACTGGAATTACCACAGTTCAAAAACCAAATAGAATTGTAGCTAAAACTGGAACAAAACAGGTTGGTGCATTGACATCGGCTGAACGTGGTACTCTAGTAACTCTTACTGTGGCAATTAATGCATTGGGAAATTCTACTCCAGTCATGTTTATATTTCCTCGACTAAGATATCACGAACATTTTGTGCGTGATGGTCCTTAGGTTGTATTGGTGCTGGTAACGGCTCCGGATGGATGCAAGAAAAGGAATTTATAATATTTTTGAAGCATTTTCAAAATCATACGAATTCATCGTTGTCACATAAAGTCTTATTACTATTAGACAACCATGCTTCCCATATAACCATAGAATCACTAGACTTTTGTAAAAAGAACGGGATCATCATGGTTTCTTTTCCACCTCGCTGCTCTCATAAATTGCAGCCCCTTGACCGCTCGGTATATGGTCCATTAAAAAAAGCAGTAAATGCTGCATGCGACGCATGGATTAGAAATCATCCAGGGAGACCAATGACCATATACGACATACCGGGTATTGTGGCCACTGCAGCTCCCTTGGCTTTGACACAAAATAACATTCAGGCCGGGTTTAGGTGCACAGGTATTTACCCATTTAATAGAGAGATCTTTTCGGATTTAGACTTCGGTCCTTCTTTTGTAACTGATAGACCAGCACCAAAAATTCAAGATTCAATTACTGATACAACAGGCCGAGAAAATTCTCCAATTCCTTCCACATCCACAGATAATGTTCCAAACATTGAAAATTTACCTGCTACTAAATCAGTGACAGAACCAACGACTCCTATACCAAACAGGGACCCTTTACGAGACATTACAGTTCCATCAATAGCATCTACACCAGATGCCATTGTCTTTTCACCTGAAGAAGTGAGACCATTTTCTAAAGCGGCGCCTAGAAAGACTGGAACGAAAGGAAAGAAAAAGCGAAAGTCGGCAATATACACAGACACCCCAGAAAAAATAGAGATAGAAAATGAAATTAATGAAGCTCGCGCTAAGCGAGCCAAAAAAAATCTAACAGGAGACTCCAAAAATAAACGCGCGCCAAAAAAAAGGCAGAAGATAATAGTTTCTGACAGTGAAGACGATGAATGCTATTGTTTAATTTGTATTGAACCATACAGCAACAGTAGAGGGGGGGAAAAATGGATCCAGTGCACCCAATGTAAATTGTGGGCACATGAAGAATGCATCGGTGCAGAACATACATTATTTTATACTTGTCACAATTGTGATTCTGAATAATCACTCTTTATTAAGAGCCACTTCCCCGTTCCTATCCGGTTGAATTATTATATTACACTCACTGACACCTATGGGATTACCGCCACACTGTTTGAATCTTAAGCATGGGATTACCGCCACACTGTTTGAATCTTAAGCAAGGATGTTGCGTCACATTGTTACGAAATTTAAATCCAAAGCATGGCCTTTGTAACGGGACGAGACTGATTGTGGAATCACTTGGAAATAATATTATAGAGTGCAGCATATTTTCTGGACATCGTAAAGGACAGAAAGTTCTAATTCCGCGAATACTAATTGACTCATCAAAAACGGTTTAAATTTAGTGGAAAGCATTTTCCTCTTCGTCTTGCTTAATTAACAAAATCGCAAGGACAAACGTTTGAAAGGATTGGTGTGTACCTTCCTCAACCTGTTTTTACACACGGACAATTGTACACAGTATTTTCGCGCGTCATTGTAAAACTTGGATGGCAAACGTACTGTTTCTTTCAAGGTTAATTCAACATAATGCAACGTAATATTTTTACTCGATCTGAGTGGGTTTAGTTTTACTTTTATTTCACATCACTTTTAGGAGTAAAAAACGAATAAAGAAACTGACAGTAAAAGTAATTTTTAATAAATCTGTTTATTGTAAATTAGTAAACGTTGTTAAATTTATAGTGTTGATTTAAATGACGAAATAGAACAATTTATGGAATAAAGTAGCTTAACACAAATTGAAGGTAAGTCAAATACTTTTAAATACAATATTGGTTAGTTGATTGAGTTGATGATGAAACCGGCATGGTTTAGTTAATGATGAAATCTTGGCAAATTTTTAAAAGTGTTTAAATTACAGAAAACTATGAATTTGACACCGCCTGTAGCCAGTTCATCAAAAACTCCAACAAGCGAAGAACGGAAGGCACGAATGAGAGAATACAGCCGTAAACGTCAAGCAAATAAAAGTGATGCGGAAAAAGAAGCCGATAAGCTAAGGTCGCAACGACAAAGATTAAAAATGACCCCAGAACAACAGAAAGCAGAAAAACGAAGACTTCATTTAAGAAACGAAAGTCAAAAGCTACAAAGAATGAAATTACCCCCGCCATCTAAATATGTTGCTCGAAATCCGGATAACCGGCCTGACGAACACTATTTGGGAACAAAAAGTTTTAAATGCGTACATTGTGGAGCTTTACATTTCAATGGAGAAAAGACATTTAAAGGACATGTTTCTCATTGTTGTGAGAACGGAAGTGTAACATTACGACAACTGAATGATTATCCTTTGGAACTACGGGAATTAGCTACCCAGAGCACCGAAAACGGCAAAAATTTTATGAGAAACGTACGGAACTTTAATAGCGCCTTCGGATTTGCATCATTTGGGCATCAACCAGTTAAACTTCGTGGTGGTCCTCCAACGTTTGTCATCCATGGTCAAGTCTACCATCGCACAACAACATCCATTAAACCCAGGTACGTTAAATTAATTATGGATTATTTGTTTTCAATTGACGGAATGTAAAACTCGAGAGAACGGTAATCAAGTACGGAATGAACAAAAAATGCAACTTTGGTTGTATCCATTATTTATTTATAGTGACAACTTCGACAACAAAGAAACAGAACCATCCTATGCTCAACTTTACTTTTTGGATCCCGAATATGCAAATAACATGCGGTCTCAGAACACACACAACGAGGGATGCAGAAAAGAAGTTTTTGATATTATTGAAAAAGTCCTGCGACGTAATCCATTTGCCGAAGCCTTTAAAATGATGAAAGATCTCATGGATATAAATCAAAATACAATTGAAATGTGGATTATTAAGGATAGACAACATGACCCTCGCCGATACAATTTGCCTGTAGCAAACGAAGTTGCTGCAGTGTTTGTTTCTAAAGATGGGGAACCTGGATTTAAACGAGATATGGCTGTTTATGATAAGGGAACTGGACAGTTGCAAAATATCGATATATTTAGTCCAAATTGTGATCCTATGACCTATCCAATTATGTTTCCGTTTGGCGATGCAGGATGGCAGCCTGGAATTAAGAAAGCTGACGAGACAAGAAAGGTTGTAAATATCTCCATGCTGGAATTTTATTCCTACCGGATGCAAGAACGAGAGTCTTTTAACCCAATCCTTCATTTAGGCAAACTGACGCAAATGTATATTGTGGATGCATTTTTGAAAGTCGAAGGTGGACGGTTAGTTTGGAATAAAA